GTGATAGTGCTGGCCGGGCTAGGGAGTAGAGGTCAAGGTCAGAGAGTATAGAGACAGAGACAGACAGAGACGGAGAGAACAAGGAAGAGAGAACAGACAAGACAAACAGCCACAAAGACAACGAGCAGGACAGGGAGAGAGAGAGGGCAAGCAGAAGAGAGGGAAACAAGGCGAAAGAAAGCAAGAGAAAGAGAGAAAGAGTACCAAAAAGGGGCAACAGCAGCACCAACAACGACACCAACAGCAAGAACAATCACAAGCAGCAAGAACAACAGCGACAGGAAGACAACAGCAGCAACAGCCACCAGAAGCAACAGCAACCGGCAGCAGCAGCAGCAACCAGCAGAAGCAGCCAGGCCAGCAACAAACAACAGCGACAGCAGCAGCAACACCAGCAGCAGTAGCAGCAAGCAGCAACCACAAGCAAGCCAAGGGGCCGCTGCGTGTAGAGCTCGAGGTCGCTGTAGGCACCTGCACAGGGCGACAATGGCAGGAAAACAAACGAGGGGAGAAACAGGGGAGAGATACAAGAAGACAGGGACAAAGACCACAAGGAGGACAAGACACAAACGAAAGAAACGCAGGCGCCCTAGCCACGGCCAGCCGCAACAACCCAATGCCAAATCTCATCTACTTGCAAACTTAGGAGGAAAATCTAGCCAACAAGTGCCAATATGATGTGAACCCTCCCTCCAGGTGATGGCGCTGAAGCCGATGGCCTCTGCCATAGCAACCCGCATCCACCAAGCTGCCGCATCCACCACAGCCGCCGCATCCACGAGCAACCGCCACAGCCAGCAGCAGCCGCCACAGCCGCTGCATCCACGAGCAGCCGCCATAGCCAGCAGCAGCCGCCACAGCCGCCACAGCCGCCAGCAGCCGAGCTGCCGCCACATCCGGCAATATGCTGAAAATTGTGTGATGAGATGATATAAGGATGAGGCTCCGGGAGGTGAGTGTCAATTTGCGTGGTGCAATCCTAATGTAAATGGAGCAATCAGGGTAAGGGGTGGCGAAATAAGGGTAAGACTTCCAGAGTGCAATCCCAATGTAAGTGAAGCAAATAAGGTTAAGGATTCGAAAAATACAGGGAAGACTTCCGGACTGCAATCCTAATGGAATTGGAGCAAATAAGGTTAAGAACCTGGAAATTCACAATCAAAAGAATTAGATGATTCTATTCATTTTCTTATTATGTGGACTTTCTTAACCTTATTTTGCTCCGTGCCTATAGGATTTGCCCAACAAGCTCCTAACAGTATTTTGAGATGTCTTAACCTTATTTGGCTCCGTGCCTATGGGATTTGCTCAACAAGCTCCTAACAGTATTTTGAAATGTTTTAACTTTATTTTGCTCCGTGTCTATAGGATTTGGCTCCAAAATCTGTTCTCCACACCAAGGGTAAAATGGCAAGGGCGGAACATTTGATCAGCTCAAACCGCATGGCCATGAGAATTCTGACTTTGCCAGAGGCCGCAAAAGATAAAACACCCAAAGTGATTTCGGCACATGAAATTGGGATTGGCGAAGGATTCAACATGGGAACCTTTGAACCTGATGCCTTGATTGAATTCACATTTGTCTCTCCAAGCCTCACATTTTCGAACGTAACACTCCCTGACATGTCGCCCTTGGCTTTCCAAACAGTCACTTTGATGACCCAATAAGCGGCTTTTTTCAAACAGGCGCAAGGATGTTGACTTCAACGCCTTCGGCGTATGCATCCGCATAGCTCACCTTCTGCTTTTGAAGAAAATGAGGACGATTTCTGCTGCAGCTCAACCGCATCCTTTTCGGAAGCATGAATGCTGTAACCTCACTCAGCTGCACGGCGAGCAATGAGCCAAGCCAGGTCACCCGTCGTTAAGCCTTGGGCTTTTTTCGTGAGACGAGATCTGCGGCGAACCTGGCAAGAAAGATATTGACAGGCGCGCATGCAGTCACATGGCCAACGTTTGTTGACATGCATCAACCCTGGCAAGCTCAGGGCTCATGTCCCCCACAAGAATGAGAATTTGAGTGGCACCTGCCTCCTTGCGAATCTCTTTGGTCGATTCTTTCAGCTGCTGCTTCAGCACGGCCCTTGCTGCGCGTAAGGCTGGCAACTGGTCTTGTCCACGAGTGAGTGGTGCAGCTCCAGCTGGCACTGCGGCAGCTGGTGCAGTGGCAGCTGCATCATCCGACATGGTAAAAAGAGAAGTAGCTGAACCACGGTGGGTTCCAAACGCTTGAGGCTTTTGTAGCAAAAAGGCTGCAGAACCCATTGGTCATCCCAGCTGCCCTGATGCATTTCCTGTACCATCTGCGTTGCATGTGAAGATGTTTGGGTAGTTTTCTGGTAAAAGTATCAAGAAACAGTTTATAAATATATATTATGTGAACCTGTAGTGTTTATACTATGACAAGCTCGGCTTGGAACCATCACTGATACAGGGCCTACATTTCCAGCCCCCTAAAATGAAACCTTGGAAGCTTCAAGGCCATGGGCCCTCACAGTGTCACACTTGCTGCTCTCCGGTTGCATCTGCCTTTTTGCAACAGCAGATCTGGACTTCGACACCTTTGGTGTTATCAGAACAAACATGCATCCGCATAGCTCATCTTTCGCCTTTTAGGCCAAATGAGAGCCATCTCTGCCGGAGTGGGTTTGGCAGGAAGCGGTAAGGACACTGGATTCTGCATGAAATTTCGCAAGGCGGAATGCAACTTTGTCACATCTCGCCCGCACCCAACGCTTTCGAAAGCGTGGGCCCATTGTCTGCTGGCGAAAAATTCTCGAGGAGCTTGACCCAGTTGCCACAGAAACTCAAGCTGCTGCGGTTCACCGCCTTGGGCGGTGCGCCGCAGCTGCTGGTTTTTTCTTTTTATCCAATGCTTGAATGCACTGAAAGCACTGGTGTCTAGCGGCTGTAGCAGGCCAGTGCTGGAAGCTGGCACAAAAAGAAGCTGAAAACCTTTCCTTTTGGCAAAAGACATCAACCTTTTAGGTAGATGAGGAGATGCTGTGTCCAAAACGAGTATTGGTTTAACCATTGGAAGCCAAGGCTGGAGCGCCTCTCTCACATCTGCCAAAATTCGGATCATGCAATCTGTTGTCACCCAAGAAGATTTTCTGCGAAGAAGCCGCAACCTCGTCGGTGGCAGCGCTGCAAAACCTTTGGCGACAGTCTGGGGAAGCCTCTTCTCGCTGCAAACCAGGAAGTGCGGCAGCACCGCTTGAATGCCCGGATGACTGCAAAGCAAGGCCCCGTATGTGTAGGCGATCCTCCGCCGACTTTTGGGGACCGGCATTTGTGGACCCCCTGGCACGGGGTAAGACTTCCAGTCATTCACCACGCAACCTTTCGGACATGGTGGACAGCAAGGAACAGAAGTTTCATCGAAGTTGATCCAAACCAGTTCCTGGTGGCCAAATTTCTCGGTCACATAGGCAATGGATCTCCAGAACGCCTTCACCTGGCAAAACGAAGATTCGGGTCTCAAAAAAGTGGCAAACAAGACTTTAAAAAATGGCTCAAGTACAATGTTTTGGGGCCCTAGAAAAGCGACCCATTTGTGTCCCAAAAAGCGGCCCCAGAAACCAGGGATGCTTGCATTTTCAACCAAAAAGGGTTCCAAAAAAGCGACCCGGCTTTTTTGCCCATTCTTGCCTTGTCCCGCAAAATGCTGGGATCCACTGTGTCAGCTGACCGCAGGCATGCCCTGCGAACACCCCACCGAGCCCGCCAACGAGCAGCCCATTTGTTAACAGTCCTGCGGCGAGGCTGTCCACAAGGTTCCACCTGAAGCGCCTTGTTCTCATAGTAATGAAACACATCTGCCGCTGATGGTGCCACGCCTTGAGAAAGGTTTTGACGCTTCACCCAACACCAAGCATCGTGTTCCAGGAGGAACTGCTGTGCAAACTTTCGGGCAGGTCCCCAAAGTGCTGAGCCTTCATCATGTAACATCAAAAAGTCCTCCCAATTGTGGTTGCGAAAGAGAGCCCTGACAAAATCTGATGTTGGAAATGCTGCAGAACATTGGGGCAATCGGGACAGCCGCTGTGCCGCTCGCAGAGCCAAACTCAAATCCCAGTTTGACAAAGCATAGACGGCCAAAACTTTTCGCTCAGAGTGGCAAGAAAGGCCGCCTTTGAGCAGCGAAGCAGCTTCTCTGCGAGATTGCTGCTGGCAATTTCGTATGTGCTTTTGGTTCAGCAGAAGGGCTGCTCGGAGTTCTGTCACCTTCTTCTCTGCCAAGCAGGCCACGGCTTCGGCGGCTACTGACATGAGTAAAGGATCTACTGAAACTGTCTGGCTGAAGGTTTTGCTATACCTATATGATATGTATTGTAGCATGAGTTTACATGGCTTGTCTCCTGTTGCATCTATTTTTGAACCTGCTTTGAGAACAATAGGTACGCCGTCTTCTACCACCCTGCTGCTTTGAACCATTCTGATTCATACAGCCAGAGCAGAGCTGCATTTTGAAACATGACAACAGTGGGCCCAGCACACCAAACGCTCAATAGCATGCCAACCCTGCCAACCATGGCTATGACATAAGAGGAATTGTTGGAAACAAAAACACTTGAGGAATGAACTCTAGTGACTGCAAATGAATCGGAAATCGGTGGCACCCCTGGCTGCAACTACAGTGATGTAGCGACAGAGACACACACACACACAGTATGCAAATGTTTGGATTAAGACTAAGACCTTGCCTGACATTCATGTCATTGAGATTGAACATCCCCCGACATCAACTGCCATTTTTAATCTCAGGGTTTAAAAACTGGGAGAGGTTTTGTTAGGCAGTTACATGGCTAGACGGCTAGACTCTAACGACCTTCAACTTCAACAGGCACACCTTAGATCCAATCAATCCGGCACTTAACAATTCTGAAAGTGCAGGTCGGTCCTTGGTCAAACCATTGATATTTGGGATAACCCTAAGATATCCATGGTTCAATTCCCCACCAACCGCACCTTAAAAAAACACGGTGGCCTTCCTTAAGGTGGCCATACGAGACATCGGGGAAGGTGAGTTGGTGGTTGAAGAACGGCCGCGACTTGGTGGGGAGATTACGTGGTGTCCAGTTGAGTTTTGACCCACTTTTTATCGTAGATTACCATAGATTACCTGGGTTTGTAGATGTTAAAGGTGATTTTTTCCCAGAAATATCATGACATATCCACCATGACTGGGGAATCTAATATAGTGAATATTTGTTAACATTGGTGAATCCCTTAAGCAAATCCAAGATTAAGAACAGTGACAATCGTGCTTTATCATGATTCATCAAATGATTCAATTAAACTATGATGAAACTTGCCCTAGCAGTTTGGCGCGTGAGACGCAGAGTGGGTCATGCAGCAGGAGTGTTAGTATGTCATCTATAGGTCCTAGTCCCCACATCTTGCCCTAGCTATAGAAACTGGTTGATGGTTTGGAACATGTTTTATTTTTCCATGCAGTTGGGAATTTCATAACCCCAACAATACCCCAACTGACTTTCATGTTTTTCAGAGGGGTAGGTTCAAACCACCAACCAGATAAATTATGATCTATTTTTACTATTTATAGATCTATTATGATCATAGGGATTATTAATTATAAAATATTACAAATAGTAATATTATTATAGACTATTATCATATATGAATAGTTGAATAGTTTTTTTTAGATAAAAATAGATATAGGTCCAAAAAAACACAGAGCCCTTCAGAAACTTCAGGTCGATCACCTTTGTGGATCTCCCGGACTGGGAGGGGAAGATCCAGGAGCAGTTCGATCCTTGGCGCAGTGCTGAAAGGTCATCCCGAAGTATCCCGAAATGATGGTGGTGGTGGTTAGCAATGGTTAATACTGGCTACAAAAATTATCTATTCATGGTTATAACAATGGTTATTAATGGTTATTAATGGTTATCAATGGTGATGATGATGATGATGATGATGATGGTAAACACGCTTCACCTCGCCAAAAAATCCAGAAGTATGGTAGTGTTTTTCTTTTTTTAAAAGAGGGATATGTTCTCTAGATTTTGCCATGGATTTTGCTTGCCATTTTCGGAGTTTTATTTTTATAAGGGAGATGTTGCAGATTTTGCCATGGATTTTGCTGGCCATGATGCCATGAACCGGAACCAGCCACTTCAACTTTGCCCAGGAGATGCTTCCTGCTAAGACCCAAGAGGCCTTGATGGAACTGCATGACATCGACGAGAGCAAGAGCCTCACGGGGGTCTTCAACACCAACAGCCGCCCGAAGCACTGGGACTTCCCGAGGGGCACCATGAGTACCTGTGATGAGATGAAATATGAATCCATATGATGCCATGATAGGGTAGCTGTATGCATTTAAGATCATTTAAGTATACTGCATATATGGGATTATATGGGATTATATGTGACATATGTGGCCCCGCGGACTGCAGATTCGAATGATTTGATGTTTGGCAGTCACAACGTGTTGACGGCCGGTTGTGACTTTCTGATCCTACCTGGGGCCCCAGTAGTCCCAACCTGAAACCGAGATGGGATGGTTGAGATGGGACCAATACCACAGACTTTTACCAAGTCACTAGGGATGGTTGGAATGTGGCTGTTCACTCCAATAACTATGGTTTATGGTACTTATAACATCTTATAACTCTAGTTACTGGGGCGAATCTAAACCAACTTATAACTGGGGGGCCTCACATTGTAGGGATGGTTTATGAATGTTCCTTAGCGGAGCCTTAGTTGCATGATGTTGCATGGATTTCTGGCACAGCGGCAGCGAGATTTGGGATGCTCGGCTAGGCATTGGTTGCTACAGCGAGTCTCTGGACGGAAGTCTCTGCGTCGTCGTGAGTCGCTTCAACCACAGCTGTTTGCCCAACTGACGCTGAGATGCGTTTGCCCATCCCCATCCATAGCCCATTTATAGATGATTTACCATGATTTTACCACGATTTACCTATTGAATTGAAAATGGTGATTTTCCATAGTTATGGTCGCATCCATGGCTGGGTTCCCCACCCCAGGGCCATCCAGGGCCCAAGGCCGCTGAGGTGAGCAGTTCTGGGATGATGACATGTTCCGCCAGAAGCTGTTTGCCTGCCGGGTGCCGTTGCCGGGGCGGCGTTCATGGTGAGTCAGCAACCTTTGGGGCACGAAAGGCCAAGAAGGATAGAAAGGGTTGAGATTTTTGGGACCAACCTGGAATTTTTATAGAAATCAAACTGTGATCAACACCTGCTACCATCCCGTAAACGACCATAACTATGGAAAATCACCATTTTCAATAGGTAAATCATGGTAAATCATGGTAAATCATGGTAAATCATCTATAAATGGGCTATGTTCATCTATTTTCCACAGCGTTGGTTTAAGCTTCGGCGCAAGCGCTTGCAGCCAGGACATCTCCAAGGGCGAGGAGCGGCCAGGGGTCGATGATGGTCGATGATGGTCGATGGCCTGGCTATGGCGATGATGCTGTTGGTAAAACAATGCCATTTGCACCATCCCCCATGACCATTGTTATAACAATCACCAGTCAATGTGGGTAAAACAATGCCATAATTCATCCCCCAGTCATTGCAATTTTTATAGGTGGGATTCAAACCATTCCCAGTCATGGCTGGTTTATGACATGATTTGGACCACATGGCTGATTTAATTCTGGGTCAAAAAAATGGACTATGGAGACTTAGTTGCAACTGGAGTATAGCCCCAACCAACAAAAAAATGAGCCGCACCTTTGGCAATTGCGCTAATATTCCGATGATTACAAACGGGATAAAGGGCATTTATATACATCCCAGTAAGTGACCATTTTAGCCACCCTAAATGAGCGTCCAAGTGGATGTTGTTTGAAAAATGTGGTGCCCATCTCCTGAATAGTCACAGTCCAATAGTCCAATAGTCCATGCTGCATGCATTGTCTCATGAGAACAACAGCTGGGACAAGGACTCAAACGTGTGAAGCCGGTACTGCCAAAAAGTCCGAACTAAATAGAACGCACGTGGTTTGAATTGGAATGCATGTCGAAATTCCATGAATTTCCCCATAGCTCATAGTCTTGGGCTGGGTGACTCAATCTCAAAAAAACTGCACAAACCGCATGCTCCATTTTCTGCCACGTGCTTTTCTTGGTAGCTTAAATGCAAATTTTTGAATGACTAACCCCTGCGCATTTGTCAACCAGGCTTGATGGTCATGATTGAGCAATGATTCTTTTCTCCATCATCTTGGCTCGTCGCAAAATATGAGCAATGCACGGAACATCTGCCCTGTCACCTAAAAATACCTAAAATGGGTTTGTCTGAAAGCGGATCCTCATTTTGCGTATGAAGATATGGCAATTTTGGTAGAGACCCCATTTTCTGCCAAACCTGTTTCACATTCTTGATATATCCATATTGTATCCTGCATATAGCTATAAAATGACTGATTAATTAAAGTTGTATGCGTTCCAATTTTTGTCAAACAAACCTCAGCGATCCAAAATTGAACTGGTTGCTAAATCTTGGCTATAAGTTACATAATCTTGCGTATATTCTAAAATTGAACTGGTTGGAACATATTGTTTATATTGTATACATACTTATTTATACATATCACAGAGCCTTTCAACCTTTTTATTATATACATAATATATATAGTATATGTATCATTATTATTATTATCTTTGTTATCATTATCATTACTATTGCTAGTCCCATATATATATAATACAGTCCCATGTCTTTATATTTTTATTTCCACATAGTTTTTTTAACCAAATATATTATGTATATTATATGATATATATATATAAATATGTGTGTGTGCTATAATCCCATGTCTTTCAAACAGGCACATAGCCAAAAAACTGTTCCCAGGAGCTGTGTTTCTCCTACGTGGAACCCTTCCTGTCCTTGGCCGAGCGTCAGCAGATCTTCCGGCAGCGTTGCGCGGTGGGAACTTTTTGGGTCCCTGCAAGGAACTCTAGGGAGACATGATGATTTAACCATGAAAAATGGTGATTTCATGGGATTTAGCAGCCAAAAATGGTGATTTCATGGAATTTAACTACTATAAATGGTGATTTAGTATGATTTCATAGGGACCCTCTCTGCTGATTCAACATCGTTTTTTGGAAATCACCATTTTGATTCGGCAAATCACCTGATCAATGGGCACTTTCCCATAGCGACCCGCTGGAAGGCTACGCCTTCCACTGCCGCTGCCCCGCCTGCACCGATCGCAATGCAGCCAGCGACGCGCGGCGGAAGCGCCTGGGGGAAGTGGTGCAAGATCTAAACCGAGGTGCGGCCACAGTGGCCCAGGGTAGGGGTTGACATACCATGGCCGCTCTGTGGAAAACCAAGATGGTTTTTTCTCCGTTGGGAGAATGATCTACGGTCATGGGGTTCACATTGATGTTCGTTTACGGGAAGGGTAGATGTCAAGATGTCCGGTGGTGGAGGTTTTGTATCTGGGGCGGAGATGATCCCTTGAAGTGTTTCGCAGGATCGACCCATTTGCGAGTGAGATGAGTGCCATGAAAACAAAACTTCTGTGGTAAAGTGCCATGGTAAACCATCCATAAACATCCCATGAACCAGCCACTGTGGCCGCCAGTTTATGACCAAATGGAGGTTTTACATGGTTTTACCACATTAAAACAGTCATGAATGGCAAGACTCCGGCTGTCAACAAAAATAATACCCTCTGGTCAATATACAAAAAACTATTGAACATGGCCCAGTCGAAATAGTTGATTTACCCATTCACCATGGTGGATCTTTCCATCGTTTTTTGTACGTTTACCAGAGGGTAAATCTCCCATTTTTAGCACTATTTATAGTGGTTATATCCCATGGAACATCAACTTTTTTTTGGTTGGAACATCAGAAAATTATCCAACTTATATTCCAAAATAGCTAGTAATCACTATTAAACTACCATTTTTTGGTTGGAAAATCAGAAAATGATTTCCCAGCTTCTTGGACCTGGCTTCGGGTGCCGGGCGACCCGAGATGGACCGTGGGGCCCTGGGAATCCGAGATGGAGCGAGCACCAGCCTTTTAGGCCACGTTCAATAGCTACGGAACCAAATTTACCAGAGGGTACATGAAAACAATTGAAAACATAGATGATTTCATGTACCCTCTGGTAATATGTTCATCTATATATAGGTACATACACATATTTGTATATATGTATAATATATCTACACGTACAATATGCGAATTTTATGTGTCACCGATCACACACATAGAAATATACACACCACCGCTATCCCAAAATCAGCTGGAGCCATGTCAGGCGTCAACAAGAACGGCGACGCTGCTGTGGCATTGGCCAAGGACCCGTAAAAATGTCTATGGATATGGCGCCGCAGGTTAGGAAATGCTACAATTAATGTCATAAAATGTCACAAATATTGTGTTATATATTATGGCATGCTACTATAATAACAATAATAATAATAATGATATATCTATAAATAATAATGATATCTATATATATAATGTATACATATAAATTCTTGAAATGTCTTAACTCTCAGGATTTCTTGACCGGAATCAGCAATTCTTTTGTGGATTTCTTACGAAAAGTTCGCCTTTGTCAACTGCAGCTGCAGTGGCTTAACGGGGTGGCCTCTTAGAGCCACAACGCCATGGTGAAGCGCCATGGGCTGGTGGGGGCCATGTGGATGTTTGGCCACGTCCACTGCGCCCTGGCCTTTGGCGTGGAAATCGTCGGAGCGGATGGAGCCGTCTACGTGGCTTTGAAGGCCGATGTGCACCAGGAGATCCTGCGGATGGTGGGGAAAAGCGCCTTTCGGTGACTTGGCACAAAATCGTTGGAACTTTGGAGCCCCAGAATTCGTCTCGGCGTTTGTGCATCACTTTGACCCATACCATCCCATACCTGTTGGAAGGGGTTGTGGGAGTCACCAGTCGTCATAGATGATCATAGATTCCTGTAGTTAGGCGATGTGAAAACAACATTCTAGTCGGTTTCATAGTTGACCGATTTATTGACCTTCTTCCTTTCCCCAAAAGAGTGACAAAAACCAACAAGCCCCCCAGTTAAAAGCCATCGAAAACCTCATCAAACAAAGCATGAGAAAACCACTTTTTAAACCTGAGATCCCCCACCAGCCCACCAGCCCACCAGATCTCGAGGCCCCCAGTGGCCTTCGTTGTGGATCCGCGCCCGGGGCTGTTGGAGGAGCACCTGCAGGGCCGCGCTAAGATGGTGCGCCCCGTGGAGTCAGTGCCGGAGCCAGTGCCTTGGCCCAGAGATTTCAGTGGTGCCCAATGATGGACCTACCCTCTGGTAATTACCCATAGGATCCATGTATGGTATATGGTAACATTTACCATCAATATACCCCCAATGTTACCATATATACCATACATGGATCGTATGGGTTATAAAAAATATTGAAAATGGCCATGGAAATAAAGTTTATGGCATTGTTTTCCCAACATTACCTTCTGGTAAACGTTTACAGTTTACAGTTTGCTATTGAAAATTGCCCAGTCGAAATAGTGGATTTACCCAACTATAAAATGGTGGATCTTTCCATCATTTCCGAGCGGCAAGGCGACAACCGTAATTCGTTGTCGCACCCTGCTGTTCTTTTCAAACCGAAGCGGATTTTCACGAAAATAGATGGGGGTGCCCAATGAATTTGTAATTTTTGGTGCCCAATTTTTGAAATATGTTCAGTTCGACCCTGAAAATCACCAATTTTTACAGTAGTGGAAACACATCTTCCAAGCCCTATTTGCCAGGGTCTATCTTAATTTACTGGAGGGTAATCTACAACTAATTCGGGGGTAGCATTTTAGTCTTAACTTTCTTAACTATGTCCCATATTTGGGGTAGCCAATTCTGACCCAGAGCCAAATGAGAATGTCAACCCTGGATTAATAACCCTCCGGGATGTTTAATTGGGAAGGGTACCATTTAAGTATCAGATTATCACTATTGGGAGAGTACCCCCCTAACTAATTAACCACATTAAACCATGGTTTGTCAATCCAAGGTTGACATTATATCGATAGAATGTAGGAAACCCAAGGTCATAAACTATAAACAACTACCATTTGGGGGTGGTTTACATGCCACCTTTAATTATGGTGATGACTTAGGGTTTATTATTGGGTTTACCTATAGGTTGTAGTAATTGTAACAACAATGAGGTATAGACAGAATGATTACACTACTAATAACTAGAAGTATGCTGGAACTGGAACCGCGCTTCCAAGTGGTCGTTGGGTTAGTTGGAATCTGTAAAAAGAAAAAAGGTTGGGGCTTAAGATATCTGGTGGTTAAATGTGTGCGTGTGTTTGTCTGTCTATTGTTTTTTTGGGGGAGGTTGGGGGGTGAAATTGGAAAGTGACATTATATTGGGATAAATGGAAATTTCGGGCGCGATATGTGCTAAGATGATAAATATACAGTAACTCCACTCAAAGCCGGCATATGGGGCAATATGGGGGCCAAAGTTTTTGGTTAGTTCGAAAATGCTGGAGGACTGAAATGGATCAATTTAATTTCGAACTATAGCACCTGGAGATTGTTTGTCCACTGAAGAGTCGCCCGAGGTTTTTCGAGAGCTTCCACAGGGTGACCCATTGGGTCAGGAGTGGCGTCACTGTGAGGGTGCGGCTGGGGTTGTAAAATGAGCAGACAAAAAGGGGCTTAAATATCTGGTTGGTGGTTTCAAGCATTTGTTATTTTCCATAATATATGGAAAAATCCTTCCCATTGACTAATATTTTTCAAGATGGTTGAAACCACTAACCAGATATTATAAGTGAGATATAACCCCTCCAAGAATAGTTAAATAGCTACTTATAACCGGAACTGTACCCCCAAGACAAGGGTGCTACACCATGAATGATGTCGGTCACAACTGGTCACTCCTTGCACTGGCCAGGGGTCTCATGTGAACTGCCAAATTTCTGTTAACAGACATTTGGGTTCATTTGGGAGGTTTCTTCAACTGTGGGATCCAAAAAAAAAAACGAAAATCATGGGTTTCAACATGTTTCAACACTAAAATAGTCCAAATTGATTTAATTTTTAGATGATTGGGTGATTTGGGGTAGAATGTGGTTAAAACAATGTCATAAAAAACCATTTGGGAATGGGCTTTGAACCCCACCAAAAATGGTGAAATTAGGGATGGTTTATAAAGTGTATGGCATTATTTTCCCAACATCACCCTCTGGTAAACGTCAAACAGTTTGCTATTGAAAATTGCCCAGTCGAAATAGTGGATTTACCCAATTATAAAATGGTGGATCTTTCTATCGTTTTTTGTATGTTTACCAGAGGCTATCCACCATTTTAGGACGTCTCCATGAAAGGACGATGGCGAGACGCTGGCACGCCTGCGAAAAGGCCTTGAAAGCGGTCTCCAGGCACCTGGACAGAGAAACCAGGGGCGTTGCGGCCGCGTTTCCCAAGAGATGATGTGAAGATATGATCATTAATATGAATTAATCCTGAATCCATAGAATTTTATTTTCATCAGATTTAGAATCTTCATCAAATATGAATCAATTTTTCATCACTTTTCCCGGGAGCAGTGGCCATGTTTCATCATTTTTCGTGTCAACTTCTAATTTTTTCACCGGCCATGCTGAGTTGCCATGGACCCTGCCATGGACCTTGGTGGCTCAAGGATTCTTCCATCGAGCCTTCAGGGCATTTCAGGGCCAAAGCTGCCTTTTTCTCAGGATGATTTCTGCGGGTGGTCAACACATACTGCTTCTTCGTCTCGATCACCGAGTTGTTGCGTGCGGCGACAATTCATGGAATCAATGTGATATCCCACCTTTGGATGTGGGTGTGAGATACACCCAGGTTGCTGCCGGCTTTGCTCATAGTGTGCTTCTCCGAAGTGATGGCGATGTCGTTGCTTGCGGTGAGAATCAATATAACCAATGCCACGTCCCGCCCTTGGACGTCGGTGTGGACTACATTCAAGTTGCTGCAGGCTATTCCCACACCGTCTATCTCCGCAGTGATGGCCGTGCCGATGCATTTGGACGCAACTGTTGGGGCCAGTGTCGCATTCCCAGATTGACCCCAAATGTGACCATTCCCACCGAGGTTTCCGCGGGCGCTTGTCATTCAGTGCTTCTCCGATCTGATGGCGTTGCATGGCGTTGCTGTTGCTCGAGGATGGAACAAAGTGAAGGAGTGTGACATTCCACCCTTGGAGAAAGGCGTGTCATATGCGCAAGTTTCTGCAGGTCGTGACCACACAGTGCTTCTTCGCAGTGATGGTACTGCCGTGGCTTTTGGATTGAATGATGATGGTCAATGCAACCTTCCACTCTTGGAAGAGGGTGTGTCATACACCCAGGTTTCTGCAGGTCGCTATCGCACTGTGTTGCTCAGATGTGATGGCCGTGTTGTTGCTTGTGGAAAGAACTCGGCAATTCCACCCGATTTCAATGCACTCGTGAAAGATCGTGTTTTGCAGGCTGACTTTTCTTACGAAGATAATGATGAAATCATTGTGAGATGCTTTGGTTTGGATGGAGTTGAAGTACTGCAATTGAGAGCCAGTGGATCTGACCTTGCCCGGCAGACCTCAAAAGAACTTGCGCTTCAACTGAACTCCGACATGCAAGATCCTCGCGTGATCTTGCCCGATGGAGAGTTGTTGGATGTAGTATGCAGGGCAAATCCAAATGCCACACTTGTCACGGTGTCTTTGAAGCACGGAAAAGCAGGCGGGGCCTGAAATCGGGACCCGTGTTGCCGGTATCAAAGCTATATAATTCGTTTGGAGGCAATCTCGATGCATGTCGGTATCTCAAGACAGTGGATATGTAGATATCATAGGACTTCCAGCTGCCTCGACCCTATGAACTTTGCATTGCTTCGATCTGGCCACGAAAGGTTTGCTGCGCCAGATCCGCCATGATTTCATCCACCATTCTGGCAAGGCAAAGGACTTTGAAAGGAGAGCCACAAGAGTTTCCACACCCGAAGCCAAACCCTATACTGACCCCCTGGCCATCATTGGCCATCATTGGCCATCAAGATCCAAGATGATCCAAGGCCAATGACGGCGTGCAGCTCTGCGAAGTGCTCCTCTGCTGTTTGACGGCCCTGGGGGGCGTTCTCCTCTCCGAGTCGCGACGCTGCAAGGCTCCGCAAGTTGCGCCGCCAGGCCCCGGCTATGCGGAAGTGGCTAACGAGGTGGCGAAGCGCCTCAACCTGCTGCAAGAAGAGGTGGGGGTCCCTAGACTCGGATGGGATGGACTGGATGCTGCCATGGTTTTTCGCATCATTCTTTTGCGGGGCAAGATATGTCAAGATTTAGAGA